GCATTTATATAACGCCCCTCATGCAGGGCGGCATCCCAGAGCGACTGACCATGGGGGAGCATGACGCCGAGCTGGGGGATAGGGGGTGACCGGTCGAAAACGAAGGTCTTCAGGTGCGATCTGAAGAGAGGGAAGGAAGGGGCAAGGCAGAGGGATAGAGGAAGAGTGTTCCAGAGTTTTGGGGAGTAGTGGCTGAAAGCTCGGCCACCAATGGTGGAACAGAGGGCACGAGGGACATGAGGATGCTCAATTCACAGACTTCAGAACTGAGATCGAAGTCTGTGCAGAGATCCGGAGTGTCAGCCATGACACATCTCCGCTTCGCTCATTACATATCCATTTGCAACTCCTACAATTAAACCCTGAGATCAAGCCTTTTAAAATGCCAAGAAGCTTAGAAATTATATATATAAACTTTAAAGTTGGTTACTAGATGAAGAATTACTGGTTACAAGTATAAAATCAACAAACCCTACACAATATCTGGGATTATAGGATTATGTTTTCCCACTGAATATTAGATATTCTAAAAAAAAGTTAGTGTTGTGTTTCAAAAAAAGATTTGAATAAATATCTGGTTAGGAAATGGATTGAAGCTTATAAACTGGTGAAGCAGTCAAAAAGAATGTAAGGATGCATTGCAGGCACGGTATACAAATCTATTGCTGAGGATACAAGGTGTAAATGTGATAAATTATGAATGTAATCAGGATCTATGAAGGTGATTTTCTCTTTGTCCCTAGTTGCATTGCCCAACATTGCTGTGGCCTTCATTGGCTCACTCAGCAGACCAAAGGTTGGTGTGCATTAGTGATGGACCCATTCATTGACCAGCCAATTCACAATCCGATGGATGCTCCTCCCTTCATAAAGGTTAAAAAAACAAATTCCTGTCTAATGCCATGTGTCGTGGGTGTTTTTGTAAGCAAATGCAACTACTATTGATGTCAGCAAGTTCTCCCAAGCAGCAGTGAAGTGAATGACAATTAATCTGGCGGATAGAAAAAGATATTCGCGAACGTGTAATGGTGTTGTGATATCTTCAATTGTTGAAGTAGCATAATGTAAATATAGCCTATAGCCCTGAGACTCTGTGTTACATTACAGAATTTACAGTAGTTACATTTTTATGAGAGAATAGAGTCACGAATCTGACAATATAACAGTTTATCTCTGAAGTGCACGATACCATAAAATTACCGTTCCAGAGCATGAAGAATGCATTGTGACCATGTCTGACTTCTTTGTCAAAATGTATTAGGAAGCTTGAAACTCTGAGTGAAAATACGACTGAGAGATGACAAGAGATTTTTTATTCAACATTGCAATTGTTAATAAATTATTCTGATTTGTTGTCTAAAATATGTAGAGTAGACTTCAAATGGTAAACACACAGCAGGTTGTTAGTCTATGTCTAATATGGCCTCACTTATTTTATTTAGCAAGTGTTTTCTTTTACATACTTTCGCATTTCAAGCATGTTAATTTATACAACTGTCTGCATAATTCAGAACTTGAATTTGAGCTTAATGCCACTTAAAAAGGTGTCTATTTTACAGTAATCGCTGCTTGGCAACTTCTTTATTAAGTGTAGCAAATTTAAGACAGTGAATTTAGGGGAAGGGGGAAAACAATGCCTCAGGATTAGAGTTCGTAGAGATGGTGAAATTGCACATCTTCTTTCCTTTTGGCAGCCAAAGTCGTCGTTTCTAAAACTAGACTGTCCAAACTGACAAAGGCACAGCGCACCATCTATTTCCCATTTTTCATAACTTATCAACTCAATTTCTGTCTTAGCTGTTGCCATGGCAATTAGCTTGATTTAGGCTCGGCAACATCTAATAAAGTATTATCTTGGCGGGGAAGGATTTAGTCTGATGTACTGTGCAGTACTGCATGTCTGTGTGACTAAGCTAATCCTCAGTTCAAAGCTTTGACTTATTTTAAGTCTTCAGGCAATCAATATCAAGTAACTTAACAGCATTTAGAGAATTCAAATCATAAAACAGGACTTAAAATGCTGTTCATAAGCAGGGGGATAATTTGGGTCTGTTATTTACCAAAAGAAAAAAATCATTTTCATTCTGGTACATTACAAAGGCACCAATGATTTCTATTTTCCAGAATAGATATAAAGTTTTTAATTAAATATGAAACTTTACTTTAATGTGTAAATGCTTGAATGAAATCTGTTCTGATAGTTTGTTGACCCGCTTGAGGTTCCAGAATTCCATTGTCAATATTGTTTTTTTAAATAAATTCTCTTATTCTGCAATAAATTATCTTTTTGTACAATTAAAGAGTAATGGATAGAATATTTCATGAGTTATAGTAAATTACTGGATTCGGTTTGTGTGGGAAGGATGTCATAACTCATTCATCCCTCCACTAGCATGCTAGAAATATGTGTCTCATATCAGTGAAATACAGCAGCAGCAGCAAACAAATTAAATTTGTATAGATCCTTTCACGTTGGGAGGACGTCCCAAGGCGCAGGACAGTCAGTGTTTCGGACCTGAGCTGGGAATCAGGATTGGGGAGGGTGGGGAACAGGGAAAGAAGCAGAGTGATCGAAGGCACGGTCGAAGAGGAGAGTCTTGAGATGGGTCTTGAAGAAGGCGAGGGAGGGGGCGTGGCGGAGGGACTGCGGGATGGAGTTCCAGAAGGTGGGGGCAGAGTGTCAGAAGGCCCACCCGCCAATAGTGGGGCGAGCGAAATAAACACCACAATACAGCCCAGACAATTATAATCTATTCTGTGCCCCAAGCGCTTTGAGACACTCCCCATGTGAAGGGCTACAACAACAAAATTACACTTATATAACGCCTTTCATGTCGGAAGGACGTCCCAAGACCCTGAAGGGTGCTATATAAATGCAAGTTGCTGTTGTTGTGTAGCTTTGGGATCAGTGTATCCTACAATGAGATGTTTATCTGAAGAAACTAAATAATTCGTATTAAAAACAAGTTGCTCATTGCTTAAGCATGTTGATTATGGCTTAATCCTTCAAGGGTGGTAGTAGCATTTCTGCAACAATGTATGACATTTAGCAAGATAAGATTTTCCCTTTCGCCGAGAACCATAGATTGTTTGTAGCATACGTCTGTGCTGATAGAATGTTCCCTTTAGAGATATTTCTTCTACTTCCATTTCTTTACCAAAATTTTTTAATATTACACTTGCAATGGACCAAAACACACAGATAATGTGGGCCAAATGGTGCTTGGCTGTGCAGAAATTTTCTGTTTGTATGTTTCAACTATTCCTCAAGTACTCAACCCTCAGCTCAGGTGCAAATCCTTGACTGTCCAACGACTTGGTATGTTCTCCAGACACGAAAGGGCCTATGCAAATGTAATTTGATGTTGCTGTACTTCTCTAATTCCCTTTTAAATGTGGTTATGGACTTGGCTTCAACAGCCATTTATAGTAAAGCAGTCCATTGCCTATCAATCAACCTTCTGGGGAAAATATATTTTCTCCAACCTCCCACTTTTTTCCTTCTGAGGACAATCCACAGTCTGCCATCTTATTGCTGTCTCACAGATGAGTGTTAAATTATAATGCTGTACATTCCATTTTCCTGAGTTGATTTTCTAATACTCATCAGGATAAAAATTATTTTCTTTACATTGATAGACACAGTTAAACCCTGATAACTGCACAGTGAGTTTCCACAGATGTTTTATGAGCTGAATATAAAACATGTTGATTGCAAATCATAGCGCCACAGATGATTTAATCAGGATTCAAAAAATAATTGAAGCAAAAACAACTGAAGCACTTAAGATAACATATATATTTCATTCAGAAATGATATTTCTGAACTGTTCTACTGTATCTAGGTACATCTTAATAGGAATTGTTTTATTTAATGTCCTATACATTAAAAATTCAATTTGATTTTGTATTAACTTTTTTGAAGCATTTCAGGGACATTATGTTTCTGTATAATAATAATAATCATCATCATCATTGGCATCCTTGCATTTGTTATAGTGCCTTATCAGGTTGTCAAAATGTCTTAAATTTCTTCACAAAAATTTTACTATAAAGCATTGTGAATTTGTAGGCAAATGTGGCAGCCAATTTGTGCACACCAATGACCCACAAAGACAGCCATGAAGTCAATTATAATAATAATAATAATAATAATAATAATAATAATAATCCTTGCACTTGATATAGTGCCTTATCAGGTCATTGAGACATCTTGAAAAACTTCACAAAATATACTGTGAAGTGAATTGACTCTATATTTTGTGGGCGAAACGCGGCAGACAATTTCATCCAGCAGTGTCCCACAAACAACCGCAGATTGAGTGACCAAATTTTTTTAAAGAAATTATTGCCTCCGGAAAGTGATCTGCCAATTAACTAACAACCGGGTTCCTTCTTACTGCTAGGTAAACCAAGGCGTGTGGAGTAAGGAAACTTGCCTAAGGTTTCACCCTGCCCGGGAATCAAACACAGGGCCTCTCGCTTGCGAGGCGAGTGCTCTAATCAATTCCCTACAAGACTCTGTTACTGGCTTCCAGAGTCCAAATGAAGTGCGGTGCTGACCAGCTATTAATCATTGTTTTCTGATTTTCCTTCCACCTCAGTTTATAGACAGGACAACAGTGAATTCGCATTCTAAGAGAGCGACCTTATTTTACGATGAGCATTAAAAATGGAAACCTGACCAAAGTAAATTGAACCCTTGTGAAGTTATACATCCAGTCTGATGACACCATGAATGGATACTTAAAGAATATCAGAAAAGTCATTGCAGGATGGATGATTTTATTTTAAAATTGCCAGTCGATGCAGGCCTCTCATCATTGGCGATTTATTGATCAGTAGGACATGATATCAATAATCAATTCTAAACTATTGAAAGAGTTAGCAATAATTTGCAGCTTTTCATGAATTTAGTGTAATGTTTCAAAATGTATCACCTGCACAAAAATGAAACATTTAGTGATCTGTGAGTAAACTCTTGTGGCTTTGTTTTATAGGAAGCAGAGAAAAGAAGAGAGCGGAAGACACTGGAGCTGTATCTGAAGTCTTACCTGTAAGTCTAAAATTAAATCTAAATATATTAGAAAGCTTTAAGAAAGAACTGTACTGATACAATTGTTCAAATTGTTCTTCGAAGTAGTCTACTGGACAACATTTAATCCCCGGGAAATTAGTCTTCCGAGTTAAAAAAAAATTGTGAGTTTAAGAATTAAAGTTCCTGACGTTGTCTTTCTTCACCTCCAGTACACATTGCGTTAGTATTGTGAAACAACGTGCTTGTTATCAGTATAATAAATCAATGATGGGAAGTCGAACAACATTGATCACTCATTTTCATTTCATTGGAGTGGATTCTGACCCATTCATCCCATAATCCTTTTAGATAACAGTGGAAGATAATCCGAGCAATGCCCCTTCTTATGGAATGAAGAAATCTCGAGACGTCTGTGCATCTGACCAGCAATCTATCATTATTTTGCTATTCCTTCTTCTGCAAGATTTTCTAAATGGTATTCCGACGGATGCAGACAGCAAGACATTATTGTAGACAGACAGAGACTAAGACATTGCATTAAAGTGATTACTAGAACTATAAATCCGTTGATGGCCACAAATTAAATCTGTGTGTAGCTTTTTCTCTTCGTAATCATTAGTGCAGAAGCATTAGGAGCCTGGATCTGGTTTCAACTGGCTGACACATAATACTGGTTGGTAATAATTGGCCTTTGATTTCTAATGCGCACAATGTTTCAAGACATTGGCTGTGTGGAAAGCCTTTTGCCATAATTTAGGCTGATCTATGTTTAGTCAAAATGTGACAGCAAATAGGTGCTGAAAGAGACCATAAGCTTGAATCTCTTAATGAGCAGCTCAAAATTCCTGCCAGATATATTCCATTGGAACAATTAAGGCACATTTCTACCAAACAGGTACGTTTGGACCTATTAGAAACAAAGTTCACAAAATCACGACTCTATCTCGCTGCCTGTTTTTTTTCTCCTTTGCTACCTGTCAAAACAATTCCACAATATTCTGTAGAATTATGTCCTGAAAATCTGAGGCATGTAGACATTATTCCGTGATTCATTTTCAAAGTACAATTGTACGTACTGGAAAGGAACTGCTGTTTAAACATGACATTTTAGATTATGGAACTACTTTCTGATGTTCTTATTTAGCTTTTGCTGCATCTTTACTCTTGTTCTGCCTCAAATAATACTAGCTATAATTATAACCCACGCCACGTGATTGCTTTGGCCAATCCATCTATCTATCGCCTCTGGCAACTCTGATGTGAATTGCCGGCCAACTGAGAAGGACAGAGCCAATGATGTGTGTCACTTTATCTCAAACACACACACTCAAACACTGCCAAAGGATTCCCGTACATGGCGTGTTATGTTCTGGCTCTCACGGAGCAACATTGGAATCAAACGAGTTGAACAGACTACACATCAACTCAGATGCATGTCTAAAAGGCCACCATTGCAGTTAGATTGTTTATAGCAGCAGTGCCAGCAACTTTTATTTATTTCATTTATTCTGGAAAAGGTACAAGCAGATACTGAATTATCAACAAAAGACTGATAACTTAAAACCTAGAGAGACCATAGAGAATATATCTAATTATAAAGCCCACCTGTCCAATGTGACCACAACCATAACAAAAATCACATCGCGTCCACAGACCAAATAAGCACATAAAAAAGCACTGAGCATTGATTTAATGTTAACATGATGATGATGTATCTTGTAAGCAACAGAAATACTGCATAGTAAAACATTCATATGGAATGTGTTTTGCATATCTGTTGTTTAACTGTGAAGACTTGCATGTTTCATCCTTTGTTCTAAGCACAATGCTGCAAATCAATTCTACTCCGCAGATTGATGCAAACACCAGTCTCCTTGCATAAATATTAGAGATGAGTCAAATTTAGCCTTGAGTAGAGTTATGGAACTTTGTTTCTGGTGAATTTATTTGCTGGCATGTAATTTAATTAACATCTAAATTCAGAGTTAGAACTGTAATCCACAATGAGACCAGCACAGTTATCAGAAACTAAACTTGATGATTTTTTCACACGTCTACTAGCTAAGTTAACTAAAAGATGTTCCATCCCTAATTTAGCAATGCAGAAGGATATTTTTGCATAATACTGTACAGCCGTTCTGTTGTCTATAGGCCTCTAGCAGTGAATTCTGAAGCACAGTTGGTTAGCAGAGAGAATTGATAATTTGCAATACCTTTTTTTTCCATATCTTCCTTCCACTGGAGAGATGCTAGCATTTCCTGGATCTCTGAATCACAAGGGCATCTAGGTCATGTTTCTCCATCTTAATGACTGTTGGTTTATGCTCCTGTTTCGTTTGTATTGATTTCAATAAGATTCTTGCTTTTAAGAAATGCATTGGGTTCATAGATAATCGGCACGGTAATTGTTTCCACAGGAATATTTCAGGGCTGGGACTCTCTCTCTCCCACCTTTTTGACATTGGGAAAATATATTGAAAATACTGTACACGGTGTTGCTTTTAAAGTTTTGCGTCATTACGAATTTCTAGTTCACAAGCCAGGCACCGATTTGTGCTAAATTTATATTGTACAACATTTTTTTTGTAAAAGCAATATCAAACATGGTGATGGATCACTCTGGACTGATACAAGATATGCTTTTTGGCTGAGGAAAAAATCTAGTTAATATACTCTTCGCTGCTAATGACAGCACATTCTGAAGATGTTACAAATCTTGAAACTGAGGGTACAAAAAAATGTCCTGATCCCTTTTTCTAATGGAGCTCCATTAGCGGCAGTGATTTACCAGGTCTGGTCTCTTTGTGTCATGTCATCAAAAGTAATGTGATACAATTGCTGTTTTTTTTTTGCTCAGATTGAATTCTAGAATGCACTTGGCTAAGGAAAAAAGAAGGAAAACGGGAAACGCTAACAAAGAATTTGCTTGTCTGAGGCTCTGAGATGGTGTGCTGAGGCCTTCACTGCATGTCTTCAATACATGAAGGCATGACCGGAAAGGGAGGGACAGACTATATCTTATATGTCTCGAAGCTTGGCTGCAGTTGATTGGTAGGGCAGAAGAGGGGTTCTTATTCATGGTAAAATTATTTTTCACAATAACAATGTCTAATTCTTGCATTTGACATAGGATCCTTCACGTCGGGAGGACACCTCAAAGCACTTCACAGGATTTACTGTAAAGTGTAGTGATTGTGTATTTTGTAGGTGAATGTGTAATAATATCATAAGCCTCATTCAGTTACTTTGAACGTTTTGGTGAAGGGACAATGGTTATGTCCTCTTTCCTATCAACCGTTGGTAACGGACAGCTTGTACCCTGTGCACATGTGTCAGGCTGTTTTTCAGCAAATGCAAATCGTTTTTAAAACGGGACGAACTGCAGTTTCCATTGGTGGAAGAAGCAGGAATGTAAGTGAAAGTAACACAAGTAGAAAATATTTTGGAAAAGAGGGAAGGGTAGAAAATAAAATAAAAAGAGAAACATTGACAAGAACAAATAAAGGTACAATTGGTCAAAAGTTTTATCTTGAAACTATCATGGGTTAGATAATCCCGTACTCCTTATCTGACTCCTATTTCTAATGGAAATTCACAAGGCTTAATTGAGTATCAGTGATTAATTAAAATAATTCTCTTTCTGTTGTAATAAACAGGATGTAGTACAACATGTAACTGTCCACGCCAATATGTTCTATCATCTGAATAACTGAATTACTTTTTTGTTCAGAGACACAGTGCAAAAGTGCTTGAGACATCTCGAAGACCTGATAAGGCGCTATATCAAATTAAATCATTATTATTAGTAGTAGTTGCACTTTTACACAACATGATGGCACCACAAAAGCACCATAGGTCTCCTGCAGTCTGAAGAAGAAACTCCTTAAGCATCAATTATGTTCTTATGAACCTACAGTTATTTGGAACTTTATCAAATTACTGAAATGAATCCATTGGACTGTTCCCATCGATCAATCCAGTTGACATCACAAAAAATTCCAGTAGAATTGTGAGCGATAATATATTACTTGGCAATCCATAATGATTATTCTGTACAGCCTCTGTAATGCTCATCCACTTCACGGTTGACACTTTGCACCCGTATACATAGAGCAGCATCCAAACCGCCTTTAAAAACAGCAGCATTTTTTCACTTACTTGCCTATTAGCATTCATATATCTGCACACCAGCATTCTCACCCATACTGAGAGACTAACATTCATATTCATTCTGGCAGTACATCACTGATGCCCATATTCACACAACAGCTCCCCTCCCTGCATTCGCCAGCATCTCTCCCACTCTTATACACACACACATACCCAGAAGCATCTGTGCCCACTTACACACAGCGCTAGCCAAATCATATTCACACACAAGCACCTGGCTAGTTCTGCACATGCCAGCATTCTGCGTGGAATTTTCTGTACTGCCAAATCTACTAATTTAGTTGCAGTGCAATTTTATTCCTGATTAATAAAATGCTAACCAGATTCGTATGTATTTATTAAGTGTTCATGTTTAAATCCCTCCATGGCTTTGCCCCACCCTATCCTTGTGACCTCCTGCAACTCTTCCTCCAGTCTGTTTCATGTCTCCCGCCTGACCCACTCCACCCATTCAGCAGGCAGGCTGTCAGCCATTCTGAAACTCGCTGAAAGTCACTCTTGGAACTCCATCCTGAAGTCCCTCTGCCTCCCTCACTCCTTCCAACTTTAAAACTCACTAATGCTGCTATTTTCGCCCACAGAATATGCAGTCACTACATTGTACAATACATCCTGTGAAGTGCTTTGAGATGTCTCAACAATGTGATAAAGCACTGTATCAAGTGCAAGGATTATTATTATTATTATTTTCACCATCTTTAGCTCATATACTATGATGAAAAACCTCCAAAGCTGACCACTTAAATTCAGTTCATTAAAATGCTGGCAGGTCAGAAGGCACCAGAAAAGTACTATAGCTTTTCCCCTGTCTCAGGATTGATGACAGAGAGAGAGAACATTAGCACCAA